CCACTCTCACCACTGGTCCTGAGGGGTTCATCTGTCTTGGATTCCTCGTGTTTCCAGTTCCTATCTGTACCAGTGTACATCCTCTGGTCTACCATTTATATTGTGAAGTAGATGAAGGTTTACAGAGCAGATCATCAGCTTTACATTCACCAATTTGTGTCCATTTTATTTCATCTCATCCTTCTCAGTCGCTTGAAAGTAATATCACTTATCTCATCCCCTGTATTTCTTGTTTCCATTCCTCCTTCCCTGATCCTCTGTGCTTTCTCCTTGGTACACGCTTCTCTTTTTATCTTTCATTGCTGCATAGTCCAACAGAAGGGTGCGTTCAGTCCAGGCCTGAAGAGGGACTAAGATTCATAGTCTTTGGGGTTTCCACGATTCTTCTATCCAGTAAGCCTGGTCCCTTGTATGATTTTGAGTTTTGTGGAGCACGTTTTTCCCCTCCCGGTCTATCCAGCACCTTCTAATGGGATCCTTTCCATAGTAGTTGGTCGCGGTTGTTGGAAGCCATATAGTTATTTTCGTCTAAGGGCTGTGGATATTGGTGTTTGCAGGTTTCCATTGTTTCCAAACGTCTTTCCATTTTCATCATTCCTCATCCTCATTTTCACTGTCTGAATGGAGAAATCCAATAGTTGCAACTTGATTGCTCCTTACACGCTTTTAAGTATACCAGTCACGACTCATCAAAGTAGGATGTAAAACCCTGTCCTTGTGAACTATATTATGCCAGTTTCCCTTGGTGACATAGAAAACAGATATGCAGTAAGAAGGACCTTAGTCCTAAACTCTTAGAGCCAACCACTCATTCCCTCAAGGCGATTGGTTATCCTTAAAGGGGTCTTATAACTTTGCCCACTGTATGTTTCACCACATTCAAGAATATATTTTCAGTAAAGATAACTACATTTATACAAATATACTCCTCCAGTCTATATATATATATATTTGTGGATATACTCCTCTGTTCCTTCTCACAACTGTGTAGCCTATTAGTCCATTCAAGTATCAATTTATATATCCCCACTAGTGCAAGGCTGCGTATATAACAGTATTAACTTCTGTCTCTTTTTTTAAACCTCTCAGCATCTTCCCCTGCCTCCACAATTTTTTATCATCCTCCTTCTGACTATATACTTATTTTCTCTTCAACCAAATCAATACTTGTCTACCCTGTAGACCATAGGTCCCAAACTTACTAGGCTCACTGACTGCTTAATGAAATGGCTGACATTTCTTCGTGCTGTTCAGATCCAGGTAGGCAGCTGAATGTCCATCGAGCACTTATCTACCCATGAATAGCTTTCATTGATCTATTTGGTGTGTGCTTATGCAGTACCAGAGATGGTGCTTTCTACTCCTGTAAAAATCCCCATGATCAAGTTCTACTCTGTTTTGTAGGATCACCA